CTTAATTAAACAATTGTAACATTAGATCGTATGCGATTGATCCTCAGTCTCTGTGGGTTCGATAATCATTTAAAACTAGAACGACTAAACTGTATACTTGCAGTTAGTATCCCGATAAACTCATAAAATCCCGATCAAGAAGGAAGAAAATATGAAATTGATAAAGAAGAAGAAATTAAAGTTTCAACAAAGTAAGAAAAAATATTTTTCTACGGAGTTTTCCTCTGCTCACGAATTTGTGATTTTATTATGCAACTGCAAGTTTAATGTATTACAATAATAAGGATTACTCCCTCTATTTATAATTTTAGGTTAGCTTGCTCCCTAAATCAAAACCCAAAACTATAAAAGCCAAAAATACCTAATTCAGTTAACACTACTAAAATAGATCTAAGTTAAAATCCTGTCGAGCAGCCTGCTTTGACATTTTGACACACACTAGATTAATTTTGACACACCATTGTTTATGTCGAGCAAACCTGCTTCAACACGAAATATTACAATCTGAACACACCACCTAATTTATTGTGCCTAAGTTATCTATATTCATCATATATGTTAATTTATTGAACATTTCGACCTGAACTCATTTCGTCATGATGCCTGCAATCTGATTTCCATTCTGCAGTATTCTAATTTCAACTTTCCTTTAACTATTTATTGTCAAAGATAATGAAACCACATTTCAATGTGCTTGCTTCGCTCATGTGTTATTGAATTCTTCGTCAAATTGATAGTTGACAATTATGATCCCGAATAAGAAAGGATACCATTTTCATAATCATTTGGAAATAATAAATATGATCATATAATCATTTGGAAATAATAAATATGATCATCTCATCAATTCATTTACTATCTAGCTTGAATCAATTTTCCTTAATATTCTTTTGGATGTATTCTTTAAAAGATAAATAATTAAGGGAAATGTTAACGAGTGCTCCCGAGACACTAGATAAGAGTTTAAAAAAGATATATTTTATTTAATAAATATTTGTATTTAATGCATTAAAAATTGAAATAATTGAAATTTCTACCAAATAAAAGGTATGCTTTCTTGGAAATATTTGTATTCAATGCATTACAAATTAAAACAATTGATTTATTTAAGAAATATTATATATATATATATATATATATATATATATATATATATATATATATATATATATATATATATATATATATATATATATATATATATATATATATATATATATATATATATATATATATATATATATATATATATATATATATATATATATATATATATATAATCAAGAGGACCTATACCCAAAAACAGAAGGAACTAGATTTCTACTAATCTAGGGGTAGACAAACCAAGAGAATCATTTCGAAGAAGATTCTTGAAGAATTCAGGAGCTTCGCAAAAAGAATGATCTACATCACAACATTATGTCTGACTATTAACAGACGAATTTAACGAATTAAGGTCAAGTCTGAGTCTCTATTTTTATATTTGGAATCTCTAAAGAGTGCTCCTGAAACACTAGTTAACCTGACCCAACAATTAATAGTAGAATGAATGTATGAGTTGTGCTACTTATAATACCTTTTACTTCCTTAAGGATACAAATCTTGTGACTATCGAATAGTCTAGTTTTTTTATCCGTAAGCAAATAATTGATGTACTTAGGCTAGGTTATTCCCTTTTGCAGGCCTTAATTTAGGACAGCGCATAAACTTTACCTTATGATGTACTTAGGCCATTCACTTATTAACACATTTGTAGTAGAATTTACTAGCGCATATCATCATAAGGTTTTTCCATATGGTGGAGACAAGATGTAGGTCTTTTCCTCGACTAGCGTGTGTATTTTCTTTGTAATGAATCTATTTTTCGATGCGTACAACTAATTAAAGTTTGTGAAGGCTTACCTTATCAATTTTTTATTTCAACTAAGTGTGTATACCACATATACTCATGAAATTATCCGTAGTTTCAAGGAATTATCAAAGCCTTTTCATATCTTTTTTCTGAACCTTTAAATGAAGTATACATGAAATTGATTCATCTACTCATTGTTCATAACCAATCAAATTAGTTGTTCTAACTTTGCACTTATGCCTGTAATTTTTTTCCATATAATTTAGGTTTGGATAGAATTGAATAGTAAGGAACATTCTATCCAACACTCTATCCACCCACCCATGATAAAGCTTTCGTATTCAAAACTCTATGTAAAATCAGATATTAAATCCGAGGTGGAGTATTTTATGTAATTTGACTCCAGTTGATGATTTTTTTTAGTAAGCAATTTATACCAAGTAAGATTCAAATTTGAGATCTTGAGAGGAACACAGTCTCAAGACTCAAATCTTCACCACTAGACTACACACATGCACACGGTGCATCTGTTTTTTTAACATCTTAGGCATTTACTCCTTTAATCCCCTAGTGATCGAGCAACAAAATTCTTAGAATCTAAAACCAAAATCATATACACAAACAAAGGAATCGAAACAAATAATAACAATAAATCTGAAATACTTACACTAATTATAGCATAGATATGTAAACAAAGAAAAACCAATCTTTCTATTTGGATGGCCCCTTCATTCTAACTACATTCTAAACCAGTGAATTTCATATCCCTTACTAGCATAAAGAAGAGATAACTATCACTTTACAATCCTCCAAAAAAAAACACTTGTTAGCACCTATGGAATATCTTCATGATAATCATAAAACTATGGAAATATCTATCTTCAAGCAAAAACAAACCCACAAGAAAGTGCCATTAAACACACAGCAGCTTCTTCCTCTTCACCTAACTTAATCCTCTTTTCTTTCTTCAAAACCGAATGCAAAAAAACCTCTTCACCCAAAGCCACTAACTTCATTCTCAAAAACTCACTCCAATCATCATCCTCAGCATCACTGTCACTTTCTGATTTCTCTCTCTTCCTTTCCTTTTCTTGTCCTTTCTTACAACAACCTCTTCTCTTCCTGTACCTAATTCCACAAGCGTTGCACAACGTCTACATCATCCAAAACAAAACCAAAAAAAAAACAAAAGATTCAACAATTCCATTTCTAACAAGAACGTTAACAAATATGAAATGGGTAAAATAGTAAATAAAATACCATACTTTGGGTCCATTTGGTCCTCCTCTCCAAAGTGGGGTCTTGGTGGTTTTGCAATCAGCACAACATTTCTTGATCACACCCATTTCATCATATGAACAACATTCCTGTTAAATAAGCAAAAAACATAACAACAACGTTAGTAAAACAATCTACCTCGTACCTAGTACCTAGCTCAACATGATTCAAAAATAAATAAAAACTTTCAATATACCTTGCTCATTTGATCCATGATTCCCATTGACACAACACTGAAACAATGATGGGTTCAGTTAAATATGAACGAAATGGTAGTAACCGAATCACCGAAACGAGCAAAAAGTAGAGAGAGAAAATGGATATAAACGAACGCACACACTGAGCAACCGACTAAGGTGGAAATACTACCTCAAGAGAATCCTAAGACTGACATTAAAATGACCAGAATACCCTTCTAAACTATAGTGGCAATCTTGCAAGTTTTGGATTTCAGATATGCCACGTGTCCATGTGACGTGTATACCTCTTCTGTCAAGAGAATTATAAGTGGAAATGGAAATTTCAAGATCCCACTTTGGAGACTATTAGTAAAACGAGTTTAGTTTTTCATGCATTCTATGTGAATATGACAAGTTTATCATTTATGTGATTTTACAAATGATTATGATCAAAGAATTATTTTAACGATATGATTAGTGTTTAACGTGTTTTTAATTGGTTGGCTTGATTTCATTAAAGTAGTTCCAAATTGAGCAAAACCACGTCTTAAAGATGATGTTTTGCATTGGGTAAGTAAGAAATATAAGGTTGGAATGATTATGTAGGACTGATTAATCACAAAAGATGGGATGGACGAGAGAATATATTTTACAACAAATTTAATTTTTGTTACGTTATCAATATCAATTTTGGGTTTGGCATGAAAATAGAGGCAAAATTGTATACACATGAAAAATGCGTGGTGATATTTAAGTAGACACGGTGTAGTATGATAATGGTACTCACGTCATACGAATGTTTGCTTGTTCGTTTCGGATACATACACCACCGTGACAAACGAAATGAGTATCCAATTTCTGATTTGGTTAGAGAAGCATAAAAAAATCAACTGCCAAAAACAAAACAAAAAATCAAGGTTGGAATATAGTAACATTTTAATACAAATCAACCAACATACAATTTGAATAACGTTTGGGTAGAAGATGAATTTAATACACTAATAACGATTAAGTTAGACTTGATTTGCCTCCTATTAGGAAAATGAATTAAATGAACAATCATCATATCTTACTTAGGTAGAGATACTTTCTAGGTCAAGAAATTTAAGGTAAATAGAATTTTCAACGCATTCATTTTTTAAATTAGTACAATCTTAAGAGATAAAGCCATATGATGTTGTATCTTTTATCAATTGATCAATAAAATTCATCATTTTAACGCCGTTGAATAATAATGCAAAAATTGCTGCACATTATTTTGGCGAGACATTTTTCCAAACCAAATTTGTAACACTGCATTATAAACCTGAACCGGGACCTAGAAAGCCCTAGTGAATAATAAAAATCTCCAGAGTTCCTTGCACAACTATAATGAAGAAAGAATAGTGTCATTTGATATTTGCCAAAATAGCCAGAATCATAAGTGGTACTTAATGACTCCAAATCTATGCAGGAAACATAACGAAATTTAACATAAAAAATTCTATAGAAGAGCCAAATCACTTGGCAAAAAGCAATCTCTAGTATTTAAATAGGTGGAAGTGACAAGAAACGCAAGCCACAACCCAACTGTCCCACTGACGTATGTAAAACCAGCCATTTCAAAAACCCAAGCCGGTCCAGTAACAGCCTATTTACCAAGGCTGGACCTTATAGAACTTAAGGACAATGAAACGACACTGACTTGACCCTCAACTGTTGAACTGAACCACCATTCTGAAAGACTTCACTGAAGGACCAGCCATAATCCTGCGGTTATAAAAACTCAACAATTCAACATGGTGTATACACAATTCTGGAAAACATAAGAATGCAAACTTCCTAAACTTATAATAGGAATCATGTTGGCTCGTTGAGGTTTTGTCAAATTCACCTTGAATCCAAACACGCACTTGGTTTTCTAGTTGCTGTAAAGAGTTTGCAAACCACAAAAAAAAAGCCAAATATAACAAAATGGTTACCTTGTAAAACATGAATAACTTCTAATTGAAGTTGAATCCACCAGTAGGCACGGAAGGAACTTCGGAGCCACCAAAGTTGAACCCTTCCCCTGCAGGCATGGTCTCATCATCTTCCTCCAACCAGTATGTCTCGAGAATCTTCACAGCCTTTTCATAAATCTCGGTGTTGTCATGACTCTGGAGGTTCTCTATTTTCTCCAAACCCTCAGCATCATCAATCATTTGGGCAAACAGATTCACACCATCAGTGCTGCCAATATTTTTATCAGCCTCGCCTACCTTTAAGATATTTTCAAGCCCTTCAAGACAAACAGTAACAATCCTAGGATCAGGGCATATGAGAAGATCACACAGAGGCTTAATACACCCTTGATTTACCAAGATCCTGTTAACAAAGGAAAAATAATTTATGATATCTTGAAACAAAGAGGTTGTAAAACCAATAAAAATACAGAGGAACGTTGCAAAGATAAGGATCTCCCCATACTTGAGTTGTTCATGAGATCCACCCGATGTAGCATTAGAGATGGCCCATGCAGCTTCCTTCTTGATATCAAACTCAGCATTTTGAAGCAAGGCGACCAAAGGAGGAATTATATTGGCATCAATTACGGCCTGAGAATTTTCAAAAATAGAGAGAAATATAAATTAAGTCCTCCAAATGCAAAGACAGCACATCAAAATTTCATTATTGCAGATGAGCAAACCTGAATCTGTTGTGTATTCCCAGCTGTGATATTCGACAACGTCCAACATGCTTCTTTCTTGATGCTTTTTTTATAATTATTAGCCAAGAGATTCATAAGACGGGGAAGAACTTGATGGTTGATGATGACCTGGGCAGAAAAAAGAACCACATTAACACAAACCAGAAAACAAAAGTGATATAATAATCAAGTGATTCATGATGGCAATATAGCAAAACTACAATGCTGCTAGTTGCAAGGAAGAAAGAGACGTGGAGTGCAACAGAATATATGCATGGTTGCACAGTATGGCAGAGGATATTTGTGCAATGGGGTCATAAAGAAACTGTCAAGGAGGAGATGGTGGGAAATAGTGACAAGGCAAAACATAATGATTAAATTGGTGGCTTAGGCCAATGAGTGCATATTAAGTCAAATCAGCTCTGCTTGTTAATCTCTTATTACTTCTGCCTTTTCGGAAATTTTTTCTTGGTAATCGGTTTTTCCTCTTGTACAGGAGGTTTCCTCCATTAATTTGACTTTAATTTCAGAATTAAAACTACCAGTTCCCGTGTGTATATTACTATTTCCTTTAGTGCAGAACCACAAAGTGACTATTGTATGTAAGAGAACAGAGACCTATGAGAAATTCTTGAACTTAATACCTGTGTCTGCATGTCATCTCCAGTGACAATATTTCCAACTGTACGGAGAGCAGGAATAAGCACAGAAGGAGATGGGTGCCTGAACAAGTAGATAATATTACAAATTTGATATCATAGTAACAAAGGAAACAACATTGAACAGCCAAATTAGATATTCAAAATACTCACTGAAGAAGCTCAACAAGCCGGCTACAGACACCAGCTTCAATTACGCCTTGAATTTTATCATTTGTACCGTCAGAAAGATATGAAAGTGCCCAACAGGCATCAGTTAAGACTTCCTCATCATTAGAATGAATGAGACCGGCAAGTGCGGGAAGCGCAGGCTTAACCTATAAGCAGACAGGATGTGAGGAAAACACAATCATAAGAATCAATTATTAATTGATACTCATTAAACTCACGTAGTCAGCAAGACAAAAAAAACCTAAAAAATAAACGATGGATCCAACAAATAGCTCTGCAAATATGAAATACATGTTAAATAATAAGGCCTTCACATGTAAACCATATATTTAACCAACTATAATTACCAAATGCAACTTAAGAACAAACCATATAACTACTCCAATATTGTTAAATAGCCGTTACAACGTAACAGAATTTGAACAAACCGCTATTAAGTGCAAAATGTTGTCACAGTCACCATAGCAGCGCTATTGCACAGCAGAATTTTAACAATCAGCTATCCACAATTGACAACACTGAGCTGCATACACTGTAATTTTATAATTTTTCAATACAAACATTTGCAGACATTAAGCAATTTCATGATTTTGTCACACAGTCGACATAGCGGCATTATTGCACAGCAGAATTTTAACAACCAGCTATCCACAATTGACAACACTGAGCAACACACACTGTAATTTTATAATATTTCAATACAAACGTCGGCAGACATTAAGCAATTTCATGATTTTTCAACATGCACGGTGTTCATGAAAGCAGACATAGCAAGAAGAAAATTCAAACAAATGGAGAAAGTAGAAGAAAGTCATTTCATAACTGCAGATTACTAAAACAACAAAATATGAAGGTACTAAAAAATCATTGTTAGAGTTCCAGGTATTGGGTATAAAACCCCATTTTGAGCATATGTATATAGAGCCTTGAAATCACTCATCTAAGTAGGTAAATACTCTTATTTAAGAAAAACCTGGTCAAAAGCAGGCTGTGGCTTCCCCCTGCAAAAGTTTGAGAGTGTCCAAGTAGCATTTCTGAGCATAGAAAGTTTGGCATGCTCATTCAATTGAGCCAACAGAGGAAGCAGAGCTCCATGACCGAGAACAAGATCACGGCACTTAGGTGAATCTCCAGCAACATTTCCTAATGCCCACACAGCCTGACAGTCCACAAAAACACAGGAAAGACATTAAACTTTTGAGATATATCACACTAAATTGTCCAAGAAATAATAAAACTCAAAACACTGCATTCAGCTCAACCTCACTGGCATGCACAAAAACACATTCAAACATAACATTTAGAATCTAGAAACAGGAGCTTCACATAAAGTATATATATAATCATACCTGTTCACGGACATCATCACTAGGAGAAGCAAGAAGCTTCACAAAAATTGGGATAGCACCGCTATCAATTACTACCTTAGTGTTATCAGAAGTTCCAGAAGCTATATTTGTCAAAGCCCAAGCAGCCTCAAACTACAACATATAGCAAACAAAGTCAACACGGTGAACATGAAGTAACATTTATCGCATAAAACAAAACAAAGACGATAACAACCTGCAGCTGTGGAAAATCCTCCCTCATCAAAAACTCAACAAAGCGCGGAACCACACCAGCTTGTATAACCTCCTCAATCGGTGGGCTACGTTCTAATCAGACATAGATATTGTCAACCAAATATCCCTTAACAAATAGTAGATAAGAAACTAACATCAAAAAAAAATTGTTCAGAGAACAATATCTAACCAATTGAAAGTAACTTCCGAAACTGAGTTGTTGCCTCGAACTGCATGTTATTATCATCAGTCCAAATTCCTGTAACCAAGGCTGGTAGGTGTTCCAACTGCAGCAAGATATAAACATACCCATGAAACAACAATTCAGTAAAATCCACCATGGTTTAAGTTCATTCAATCTAACCTAATACTAACATAAACTGAAAAAACCAAAGTCACAATAATGCAATTAACCTAATCACCAATCCAATCAACAATTGAAAACGAACCGAATCGGATCAGAAATCGAAGTAATTAATCAACTACTGAAACAAATAGATAATCGAAAGGAACAATAACTAGAAAGATCAAGATCACGATTCAGAAGCATTTTCACCTTTTTCTCTAGTAAACCAGATTGAACTGACGCAGGCATCTGCTGATTCTGAAGTCCCTCACGCCTCTTCTTCTGCAAGCTTTCCTCCCTGCGATTCTTCCGGATCTCAACCAAGTTATCCTCCCGCCGTCTGCGACCTTCTTCGGCATCAACGGCGACCTTGTATCGGTTGCGACGGACCTCGGTCCTCGCGTTTGCGGTGGGACGGTACGACATCGTTTAACAATCGGAGGAATTTGCGGTTAATCGGATTAGGGATTGGGAAATTGAACTTCGAGATAGAGAATTTGAGAGAGGCGAAAGGAAAAGTAGCGAGCGAGTGAGGGAGGGTTTGGGTTTTGAGGAGTTTGAAAAGTGAACAATGAAAGAGGGGTTTATATAGTGAGGTTGAAAAGTGGGTTTGGGGAGGAAAGTGGACTTGGATCGGATTAGAACTACGGAAATGCCACTAGTTTGAATTTGAAGATGAGGGAAAAAGTTACCTTATTGGAGGAAAATATAGGTCACTCTTTACCTGGGACTTGGAATGAATAAGACTCCGTTTTATTTTTTGGTAAATTTTTGTCATTGACTAATGTTGTTTAACGTTGTCGTTTTCATTTATTTATGAACAAGTTTCCCTAAAGGCACATGGTTCTCTCTTCCTTCCTCTTTCAAATATTTTCATGGATGGTACTAGTATATGATGGTATGGTGTACACAAATTTAGTTTGGTATTAAGCTACTATATGTAATCTAAAAAATGGTACCAAATAAAATAATTACAAAATATTTATACAAAAATAAAATCTTGTTATTCTCAAAGTCTATTTGTTATGATTTAAGATGGCATTCAATAATATTATTTTAATTTGCAGAGATAAAAGGTAAACAGATAATAAATATATTGTTATTCTAAGATAAAATTATTTTCTTAAAAATTATATTTATTGATCTAAGAGACACAATATAAATATATATGAGTCGTTAGACTCTCTGTAAAAGATTCACGATTTTTAGTGTTAAAAAACTAAAAATGTCAAAGACAATGGATATGAAAACATGTTGATTGTCGAAACATGTTTTTTCATTTGAAAGCACAATATAGGTGACTTTTTTATCGGGGACATGGAAACGGAATGAGTAATGTTGAGAATATAGCAAGTGTGAGAAATAGTTTCACATTAGATAGGAATGTGTTAATTATAAGTGGGAGAACTCACTCACATATCACCTTAAGGTTTTAGGTGGACAAGTGTTGTGTCTCTCACAAAGGTGTATTGCTCAAATTGAAAAGTCTCAAAGGAAAAATGATCCTCGCTCGACCCTCCCCCAATTGTTGCGCTAACAAGTAAGACCCATTTTTCTAATAGATTTT